AACACCTTGTAAATACAAGACACTAAACCTAAAATTTCACAAAAATTATCAGTTTAATTAGCTAAAATGTGTAACAAAATATATGTCTTAATGATATAAATATATGTTTTTCAAAATGTAAATGCACATTTTAATGATGGATAATTGATTAAACAGAGACCAAAGTATGAGGAGATGTAATCCATGATAGTTTAGGACATAACTTTTGTTTTTACTCACAAAACCAAAATAACAAAACTTTTAAAAATTCCTTAAAATTAATATTTAAAATAATTATGGCTATTATTTCTAACAAAAGCCTATTGTTAGCAAAATAAATGGTAAAAGATTACTATTAGCAAAATACATTTTTAAAAATGCATCAAGTATGATTTTGAATCCTTTCTTCTTCCTCTCTTATATCAACCACAAATCTACCCAGAATCTCTCTAGCAATTTGGGAAAGAAGAAAGAACAAATGTGGAGCAACAGATAGGACAAAAAGATGGGAACTTTTTTTACTTGAACTTCCTTAATTTAAATCAAGCTAAACAAATGCTTTGTGTAATAAGAGTGTTAAAGTCCTACAGGATTTATTCTAACTATGTTTATTTTGCATTTAGAAAGTGTATATCACTTAATGTGTTTGTCTTCTCTATTTCTTGTTATGTTATGACTATATCTGCAATTATAACCAATTTTTAGCTTTCTAGCCATCATGATTCATGCACACACTAGCATATGATAAATGTAAATTATTAGCAAACACTATTTGTTCTTTTTATTCTTTGAGATTTGTATCATGTCTAAACAATCTATTCTTTTAATTAAAGCTTTTGTATCTAACTTCGAGTGTGTGTGTGTGTGTGTGTGTGTGTATTACTGTAATTCTTAGACTAGGGTAGATCTCAACAAAGTTATTATCTGTGAAATTCAAGAGAGACAGATCTGATATGCTACACAACACCTTAAGGAGTTGCCAGCATGTGTTATACAAGCACCTCTATATGTTTTGAATCATGTTTTCTCCTTCAAATCTGGATCACTGTACAGGGATATCCCTTGGCTTTTTCCAATTGTGACCTGCATGTTTTAACTATTTTTTCCTCATAAAGATTGGTACATTCCCTGAAGCATCTTCAATTTACCTCATCTGAAATGAGCACTGTATTCTATTATTCTTTCTATAGGAAAATTAAGAATGCTGAGAAGAGGTTTCAGCATCATGATATTGAATCCCTCAGCAATCTTAAGTAGGTCAGCAACTATCAATGATGTGGTAATGTTTTGCTTGTGCAGAAGACCATACAATCACCATACAATACCCTGATAATAATAGCAGGAGTGTATTGGTTGTAATACTATTCAACATGAATTAACAAATAACTGTAGATTACCCTCAACTCTATACTAGCTTCCCAAAAATTGACCAAGGAATTTAATAAGTGCTAAAGTTAAGCAGATTAGTTTAAGAAAATGTTGACTGGAGATATATTGAAATATGGGTGTGATTAATCTTAAACAAGTCACATGGTTGTGTGATTTAAGATTAGTCTATAAATTGATCTTTTAAATAATGCTCTTATAAAAAGGGGAAATAGATGCAAAAACTACAGAAGGACTACTTTATTAAATGTGTCTAGGGTGATATATGGCAAAATTCAGATAAAAAACTACCATAGAAAAATATAAGGAAGGATGATGCTTCCCACCACCACCACCACCACTTGGGCAGGACACATGCCATCCAGATTTTTGTTCTTTCCAAATAATTGACAAGTGTATGATTATGAAAAAGTGTATTGTTAATTTTAAAAAAGCATATGATAAAATGGGTAGGTTTTCCACTCTATTTTGTCCTGGTTGGACCTTACTGAGGAATTTTGTCCAGTTCTGGCTGGCATTATAAAGGGTGAGGATAAAATGAAACAGCTTTAGAAGAGGATTACTAACATGGTAAGGGATCTGGAAATTAAGCCTTATAAAGAGTAGGTATATTTAGCTCATATAAAAGATAATTGAGGAGATGTGTTTTCAAATAGCTGAAGTTCTGCCACACAGAATAGATTGCTGTTATATTATCTATTGGAAGTTACAATAAATTTAGTTATCTGAAGAGACATATAAAAATAAACTGAATGCAGTAGGAGTGGGACATTTTAAGAAATATAGTTAGTTCTCAACTTACAACCACAATTGGGACCAGAATTCTAGTCATAAGTCAATGTGGTCATTAAATCAAGGCACCACATAACCAGGCCCATCTTTTTCAACCATTTTTTACAGCAGTTATTAAGCAAATCTCACAATCGGAAGTCCGAATCCATTCTCCCCAATGGGCATTTTTTTGCTGCTCAACAACTGGTCATAAGTTGAAGACTACCTGTATTTTGTAAAACAAGAGATAAATGTCAAAACCTAAATGAATGTAAATTCAAAACAAAAATGAATGACCAGTATAAAAAGAGTACGCTGAGGTAGCTTTCTCATGAAGAGAGAAAGACAATCAAACACATTACAAAACAGATACATGAAGACTGAATGAGGAGAAGGATGCATGGATAAGATAAAAACAAAGATACTTCTGAACGATAACTGCCCAGAATCATTGTGATTCAGATGGTGCATAAATTTTATTATTATTAAGAATAATAGGACATGAGTGAATGGTGTGGTTATAAACTAGATTTACCTATATTTCCATTTCCTCATCTCATGCTTATTATTTCTTGCTTCTTTTCTATGCTTTGCATAATGCAGCTTATCCACAAGAGAATAATATAATCAGCATGCATAGTATTCATGCATGTTAAACTCAATAGGAAAGAACTTGGCAGAAGTTCCTGGAATCTTGATTCAACATGTCTCAATTAGGCTCTAAGTCTAAGCCATACTTAGCTTAAGGCTCTCTGACATACTCCCTAGCATAGTTAGCATAACAATCTTTAATGTATGTTAGGAAGAAGCCACTAAAACTGATTATCCTTTGTCAACAAGAACTGCAATTCCCTCTTTATGTCTCTCTATATTGCTATTACATCTAATTCACTTGTGATACTTCTTTCTCCGATCTTCACCTAGTTTAACCGAGTTGTCCTGTACTGATAGAAGAGAATATTGTCCTGCACTTTTTGGTATTGAAGTTGGCTATTGATGTAACTGATATCTCTGTCCTGAAAAACAGTGGCTCTCAACTTAATCCCTCAATAGATTAATTTATTTCCAGAAGTAATAATTGGAGAAGATCAAGACTCCAATTTTAAGGTTTCTGTTTGGATAGATAGATAGATAGATAGATAGATAGATAGATAGATAGATAGATAGATAGATAGATAGATAGATAGATCAGCGAGATGAGCCTTAGGGTTTATATGGCACCTCATAATTTTTACATCATATTCATCTGAAACCACAAAATTAGTGTACATGTCACAACCATTTGCATGGATAGAGCCACCCAGACGATGCTTATCTTGTAATATGACACAAGAATATAGATCTAATACTTGATTTTTTTTTATTTTTACCGAGACCCAGGTGAAATCATAGTCAAATCACAGATCACGCTGAAAATGATTTATTCTGTGCAGACCTGTATTATTTATCTTGTGACAGCAATTTCAGTTGGGTTCCATATAAAAGAGAATCCATGAGGAATTGTGACTTAGAACCACATATCTGTATAAGGCATCACAAAAAGGATCAGTATAGTAACTAATGGTTCACTCATAATATGGCGATACCTGTTATTTGTCATTGGTTTCAGCTGGGTCTCATGTCTATGGAGATTCTCAATCATGATTGTCCCCAAAATACTTTTTCCAAGAGGCAACCCCACTTTCTTGATTGTTGTTGTTTTCTTTGAAAACGTTTCATTTCTCATCCAAGAAGCTTCTTCGGTTCTGTGCAGTGAAATGTTTTCGAAGAAAAAAAAAAAACAAGAAAGTTCAGTTGCCTTTAGAAAAGGCACCTTTGGGTACAACTGAGTCCCATGTGTAAAATTAATCAAAATATTCCACACTTTGGAGCGAGGTTTTTGTGTCACCGTGCAACCAAAACCAGTCAACCCCAAGGCTGCAAACGGCTTGGCTCATCATAGGTGGTTTGATAACCCTTTCATGGAATGTCACTGTAGAAAAAGAGTGACAATTTATAATGAGGATAGATTTCTGTGGTATAATAAAAACATAGAAGAATCTCGTGGTCCTTTCTGTCCACTCTTAAAGCAAACGATTCTTTAAGTTCTGATTATTATTTTTTTATGAGAAGACCCGAGGCGATCTATAGCCAGAACTGACCCTCCTCACACACAGAACAGATTTCTTACAACATCGATTATTTAAAGCAGCGATTCGATCCTGGGGGAAGGAGAACCGTCGCTTTCTTCTCCCAGGCCCGTCTCCACTGAAGGCATCCGCTCCTTCATGCCATCACAACAGCCGCCGCCGCCGCCGCCCCACCACCACCACCACCTTCGCCCCTCGCCATCAACCGCCAAGATCCCCTCCAGCCACGGCTTACCCCACCCACCCCTCGTGCCGCGCTCGAGCTCACCTGGTGCCCCCGACGTTGAGCTGGATGATCTCCCCGCTGCCCGCTCCGGCAAAGCCGGCGCCGTTCCCCGCCATTTTCCCCAGCAGCAGATCTTGCCCCGAATACCGCCTGTCGTCGTCGTCGCCGCCGCCGCCGCCGCCGCCTCCAGCCGCCTCCCCGGAGTCGAGGGAGGTGGGAAAAGGAGGCGGCGGCGGGGCCGGGGGAGAAAACGGGGCGTCCAGCGAGGCCGTAGAGCCTTCCCCAGCAAGCGCTAAAGTGCCAGGTCGGGGATCGGAAAGGAGGAGGAGGAGGAGGCGAACGGTCGATCTCTCTCTCTCTCCGGTCAGGCATCCAAGAGCCGCCGCCGATGCACCGCCCCCCCCCCACCCCCCCCCCCCGCCCCCGCCGCGGCGCTCCCCCGCCCCAGAAAAAAAAAAAAAAAAAAATCCTAGCAACGCGCGGCACCTGGAGGAGGGGACTCCGCGAGGGACAAAATACCAGCGTTAGTTGCGTCTTCGCGAGAGCTCCAACGGAAGGCGGGAATATGCAAAACAAGCCCAAGACTAACGCTCGGAAGGGAGGCACGCGGAAGAGGATCGACTAGAGCTTCCTTGCCCGGCCTGCTTGTTCAAGTGAGGCTCGTGCCGTTCTTTGGAGACCGGTTATTGAGGCTCCGTTTTAGTAGCTGCATCGTATCCTTTTAAGCTTCTGCAACTTTGCCGCCTGCCAGCCGATTTGGATTTCCTTTCCCATCAGCGTTACCCAATTTAAAATCCAATGCATCTGTTGATGAAACGAGTTCTTAACAGAGAAGCATTTGGATAAATCCCCCTAATTTCTGCTGTACGTTTCGATGAAATCCACTTGCTGATTTTTTTTCACTTGAATTCCTGGCCAAAAAAGAAAAACACTTCACAAGTGTACATTTTTTAAATCAATCTTTATTATGGCCACCGACCGATCCAAAGTACATTTTTGTCTGTAAAGTTGTTAAGGGTGGGTTTACCATATCTAGCTGCATTGGCAGCACCGTTAAGCAAAGAATTTTTGATCAGGGTGTAATTGTTTCACTCAAATCCATTAGTATATAAATTAGATTAGAACATTCCTTGCACAGTACACACATACATATGTGGGAAATCTGTGGTCCTCCACATGTTGCTGTACTACACACAAATGCCCAATTACCGTGTCATAACACTAGCCTATATTCTTGGGTGAAATGGCATAATACTGAAAACTCTACATTTCTAACCACATTCTGAATATTTTTTGCAACTTTCCAAAGTCTTATTAAGTTACATTTTAATATTTGAGTAAGTATAAAGCTCAATGGACCATTGTGAGTTTTGCCACCACATTCCAGTTTTTTCATTGCCATCATTTTATAAGACTGTTACATAGCAAGCCTGGGCTAAACTTTAAAATGCCATCAAGTTTTTCATCATTTTAAAAATGGGAATCAATATAACCAAATGTAAAACCTGAAACTTCAATCTCCTGATGGATTTGCTCTATTGCTATGATATTACATGAAGTAACAAACATTTTCTTTATACATTTTTACATTTCCTTTTCTTTTTGTTTAGGGCAATTACCTTCATGGATCTGGACTGACATATTGTTACAATGGTAGACAAATGTAGATATCCAAGTTTCAGGTAATAATGTGTCCATTCATGTATTTCTGGACAACTTTCACTGGATTAATGAGAATTTAACTGTACAATTATATTTTTAGCATATTTCTAATTTTGCGGTTGCATAATAAACACAGAAAATGGGGGAAATTGCACTTGACTCCCAATATTCACTAAAATGGGAAATCTTATACGTTTGTGGCACTCATGCACGCAGCAAGCTTTTGCATTTTTAACAACGAATCATTCTTGTTTTAAAGTATCTGTAAATTTTGTTTGAACTCTGCAGGGCGGAGATACTTACATCATTACAAAAAATGAGGCTTGTGGATGTGTATATTATATCAAAAATCCTAGTATGGCAAGAGAGCCATTCCCATCTAGTTAAAACTTGTCCACTCTGTCTGCCATGGGATTTACAATTCTTAATAATGATCTTTATCCTGTCTCTTTTGCAGCTGCTCCAGATCACTGCCAAATAGTGCTACTCCGATTATATGTATTCAGCTGGTCATTGGCAAAGCGTTTTCTTGATTCCTTTTCCCTGCTTTTTTTAGTATATCTGTAGTCAACTGACAAAATAGCTGGAAATCGTATCACTATCACATATATGGGGTACATCTCAATGCAGAACTTAGTCCAGTATAGCTAAACTTTTTATTTTGCTCCCCTATACTTCTTCCTGTCATGTCCTGATTTTTTTAAAAATGGACCACAGTCAAAAGAGAGCTGTCACCAGAACTCTTTTTTTTAAGAGTTCTCTTTTCTTCCTTTCTTTTCTTTATATAGGTAATAAGTACCGATTTTCAATTCTTCCATTCCTTTTGGCAAACAGTGTTTCTGTCATTTAACTATTTTGGTATTTCAACCTTACACTAAACTTGTAAAGGCTATAGAGACAAAGCAAACAATCCAGCTTTATTATACAATGTGATATAGATGTGTCTCGCTTTTGCATGTAGTTATTGCAAGCTTACCAAAGGGATGCAATCCTGTCCTAAAAAATGTAGTTGGACCACTCTTGCACAGATCCAAAGGATTACTAGAACAGTTTCACTGCAGTAAAATGGCGATAAACAGTGCTGAGCAGAGGCCAGTGGCATGTCTGCTGAAGCCTGAAATATCTAGTAAACACCTCTTTCATCCCATACTATTGGTTTAAGGGCACAAACACTAACCCTGTAGTAATTACTAAAACTTGTGTCACTGGGGGCGAGATTAGAAACAATGTGACAGTATCAGTTCCATGATTAGAGTAAGTGAGGCAGGGTTTAAAGATTAGGAAAATAAGACTACAAATAAAATAATGGAGAGAAATGCTGTAGCAGATCACAGACTATTTACATATTGCTGAAAAGATGGGCCTTTGAAGTCAGATCCTATTCTACAGTATGTTTGAAGATCATTCTCATATTCAAATTGAATGTATGTATGTATGTATGTATTTGCAGACCTGAATGTGAAAATATGGTTCTCAAAACTGAAAACAGTATGTAGTTAATAAGGCTGCAATTTCAGGAAAAGATGCAGCTGTTTTTAGGAATCTGCAGAAAACCACATTGGCACCAAAATGACATACAAGCAGAGTAACATGCACCATCATGTACTTGTGTCCTGCTATCTGGCATTTTTCATGGCATTTGCATGATGACATCATGCATGTAACATCATTTGCTAATCTTGCCGCCCGCAAAGATACCCATGATACTGTACTGAAACTCCTGCAAACTACAAAACATTTTTGCAATCAAATTCAGCTATGTTTGGAGCAGTACTTTCAATGATTCAATATATTGGGGTTTGGATGCCAAGAAATGGAGATATACATAATTTAAATGATGTATTCCAATTTGCAAAAGTGAATAAATCGATAGCTTAATGACAGTTGATCCTCAAATTGGGGACAATTGTATCCAAATTATTCTGGTATTTTAAAGCAATAATAAACTTTTCCCCCCCAAAACTATCTTAGAATCCTATATTACTGGAATGCAATAAATTATCCCAGATTCAGATATCATGCTAAACCATCTATGGCTGATTTGATTACTTAAACAAACTGGAGAACCAAAGTAAGCCTGAATATCAATATAATATGCCAATTTTCCTACTTTATATGATGTGAAAAAATGGCCATTAAGTTTATGCAGAAAGTGAATCTCCATCACTTCTTGTCTGCTGCTACTGTTGTTAATTTTTTGTTGCGCTTCAAAGTCTAGTACACAGTAGTAGACCGTGCAAGTAGAAGGTTTTGGGGAGCGGTGGGGGGGGTGGAATCTCTATTTTGGCAAATCACGTGTTTTCAAGAGAACTATAGGCAAATAACGTGATGCAATATTAACATTTGCCCACTAGATGGGTATATTGTTCTGGGATTGTAATGGATCATTTCAGTTAACCTTGTATGGATTTTCAGAGCTGTATCCTTTGATCACTTGTTATATCACAATGAAGGAAAGACTAAATATCATGTTTTGAAGGAGAAGATAATTAATCCTGCTTCATAAAAATTTAGTTTCTATGAAGCAGGATTAATTAAATTTATTATTTAGTTGATAGTAAAGAATTTTGTCAGGCTCAAACCTGATGAAACTGTTATGAAGCATGTAGCAAAAATCCTGATCTTTGTCAACATTCCATAAATAAATACTGTTTTCAGTGTATCTATCAATAGAGCTACAGTATTTACAATAAATACCTATATACTTTTCATAAGTTTTTCATAACTATTCAATGACAGATTTTTATATATTTTTCCCAATTTTACTGGATTGATCTTCATATAAATACTTTTGTCTAGTCCATCTATTGCCCAGGTGATACTGCATGAACCTGCACCAGCCACATAAATCACATGAGCCAGTAACAAATACTTGCAACACCACACAATTGAATTTTGAGCTAGCTGTAGTAGACTTTCATTAACATAAAAAAAAAACTTAGTCTGGGATTGAAATAAATTACTCCTTTGACTCTCCCACTACTTTTGTGGGCTAACAAGGTGGTATTACTTATACCTAAATTTTTAAAAAATGGCTTTTTAGGGTCTCACTAGTATCCTTTTTTTCCTGCATATTCTCTTGGTTTTCCATTCTAATAACACTTTCCTATGCATATCTATTTAAGAGAACTGAATGGGATTTAAGACTACAGTCAAGGAGACATATTTAACCAGTGGTGGGATTCAGCCAGTTCGCATCACTTCGGGAGAACCAGTTGTTAACTTTCTGAACAGTTTGGTGAACTGGTTGTTGGAAGAAATCATTAGGGCAGAGAACCGGTTGTTAAATGATTTGAATACCACCACTGTATATAACATGTATAGATTAATACTATAAAACTGTTAGATTTTCATTCCAAGGTCAAATCTGTTACAGTAATTGAGACAAGAGGTAAAATATTTATATCAATCTAAGCCATGGTGGTGCAGTGGTTAAAATGCAGTATTGCAGGCTAACTTACTGCTCACTGCAAGGAGTTCGATTCTGACTGGTTCAAGGTTGACTCAGCCTTCTATCCTTCTGAAGTCAGTAAAATTAGGACTCAGGCTGTTGGGGGAAATATGCTGACTCTGTAAACGGCTGAGAGAGGGCTGTAAAGCACTGTGATGCGGTATATAAGTCTAAGTGCTATTGCTAATAAATCTTCCCTTTTTTTTCTTGCACTAGTCCATGTATTACTAAACTTTGCTTAAGGATGGTCATCACAGGAACAGAAGGAAAAATATTATCATTCCCTTCTGTAAATACATGCAATACTTGTCCCCATGACACTGAATTTAGAACATACACAAGTATTATCCCTCAGCAATTTGTTTGTTTGAAATATGCTAGATTCAATATGTACAATATAAAGTCAGAAATGCAGAATGTAACTATTATAAAATATGAATAAATAAAAATGGGTACTTATGGAATGTATTGTATTTGTACTTATGGAATGTTTGTATTTACTATGTAAAAGCAGAAGTTTTCTTAAATTAACATTTCAACCACTAAGGGTCACTATGGGACTTCAATGTTTAACAGAGTTCTGTGAATTTCTTGATTGATTCTGTGCCATCAAGTCATTTTCAACTCCTATTGACCACATAAATAGATTTTCTCCTTGAGTCTCTAACCTAGCATTATAGGTCTTCCACAGTGATGGGATTCAAGTAATTTAACAACCGGTTCTCTCCCCTAATGATTTATTCCAACAACCAGTTTGCCAAACTGCTCAGAAAGTTAACAACCGGTTCTCCCGAAGGGGAGCGAACTGGCTGAATCCCATCACTGGTCTTCCACCATAGCTTAACATTGACTACCAAATATATCTACCAGATCAAATATCAGATCAAATTCTCTCTCTCTCTCTCTCTCTCTCTCCCTCTCTCTCTCTCTCTCTCTCTCTCTCTCTCTCTCTCTATATATATATATATATATATATATATATATATATATATAATGTGTGTGTGTATACACACACACACACATACATATACTATATATCTATAAAACAAACACTGAATGTTTATATCCTTACAATGATGGTTTTATGTATGTGTTCTTATTTGATCGTTGCACACAGCCTACAGTCACTTCTTGTGAGATGGGTAGCTTTATAAATTTGATAAATAAATAAATAAATAAATAATGCATTGTACCAATTGCCACTAAAAATGAGTCCATACACTTTGCTGCTGGATTTCTTGGGTAATCATTAATGCTCTTAACAATAATAAGTGCCTCTTAAAGTACAGGAGATCTGACAGTCCTTTTATGGGCATTTTTATCTATGTAAAATCTTTTTCACTAGTAGCATCTGAATATCAGATATTGAAATGTTATTTTATAAAGTTTATAAAGCATGATTCTATTATTCCCAGAAGAACGATTTAGTACTTTGGTGATCGTGGCTTTTTAAAACTTCGTGCATGAATAAAACAGAACTTGTAATTTTAAAAAATTGTGCCTAAAGTGGCATGATTGTTACAACTATTGTCACATGGTGATTATAGAACATTGTGTTATTTTACAGCCTCCAACAATCTTTATTCCAATGAAGAGAACAAAATGGGTTTTTAAACACATTAACTGATGTGGTTGCCTAGCACCCCATCCTCCAGAATTATTTGATGAAGCTAAATCCCTTTCCTTAAAAGGTACTTTGCATATGTTCATTGTATATACGGGTTTCATCATTTCAGTGTTTTGTATTTTTGTTCTGTACATATACTTTGAAACTGAATAATGTTAAAACACACAAACAAAATAAAGTACCAACCATTTAATAAATCAGCTATAGGAACAAGAATAAGTCCATCCTTGTCCCATTTCAAGAGTTTGCAGCTATAGGTGGCAATCCAGGTCTTCTCTGGGGATATCTTAATTTTTTAGCTTTTGTCAATCACCATAATTGATAACGAGAATGAGTTTGGTGCTGTGGTTAAGGTGCTGAATTAGAACTAGGAGACTATGAGTTCTAGTCTTTGCTTAGGTATGAAATATGGGTTTATATGAGTTACACTTTCAGCCCACCCACCTTACAGGGTTGTTATGGGAAAACAGAAAGGGGGAGTATTATTATTACTATTATATTATATAAATTTAATAGTAATTATATATGTGTGTAATTAAGATATACATTTAATGTGCTACAATTGCAGTCTTTTTATAACTGATTTTATGGCCTTTATTGTGTAGTCATTAAGTGAATCCCCATAGTTGTAAAGTGAACACTGCAGTCATTAAGCAAACCCATTTTGTTCGCTATGGTGCAGTTTTTAGTAAATGCTGAAAGTAAATGCTGGTTTCTGGCAAAAATGTTATAAATCATGTTCATATGATCACAGGGCATCACAAATAGCCATAAATGCAGGCCAGTTGCTGAGCGCTCAAAATGCATTTACATGGTTGTAAGGGGTGAGGTCAAAAATTTGTAACTAGGTTGTAAGTCCCATTTTCTGGGTTCATCATAACTTCAAGCAGTTGCTAAGTGACCGGACGTAAATCAAGCAGTACCTATATTTCTTTTTGTTGAATTCTTTCTTTTGTAGACTAAATATACCCAGAATTCTTTAACCATTCTATATAAGTTCCATTTGGGCTTTGGTTTTCAATCCCCTCAACATCTAGGTAGCTCTTTTCTGAACATATTCTAATTTGTTTCTGTCTTTTTCAGTTGTGGTGATCAGAACTAAATAACAGTGTTCAAGAGAGGTCTGACTGGGACAAAATAGAATAGAACAGTGATGGCTAACCTTTTCCGGACCGAGTGCCCAAAGTGTGCATGCCCCCCTGCATGTGCCCTACCCCCACGCATGTGAGCATGGCCCCTGCACATGCCCCGCCCCCACACATGCGCACTCACCCCCACATGTGCCCACCCACCCCTACACGCCCTGCTCCCCGTGCATGTGCACACAGCACACACACCGTCCCTCCACGCATGCGTGGCAGAGACCCAACGACCAGCTGGCTGGCAGAAGGCACACGCGCATGCACGGCAGAGCTGAAGTGGGATGACAGTTGCGTGCCCACAGACAGGGTGCTGCGTGCCACCTGTGGCACGCATGCTATAGATTTACCATCACGGGAGTAGAATAATTACTTTGACTGACTGAGACCTAGAAGGGCATGGGGTGAGGGGATGTACCGCTTTTAGAAATATGCATCCATCATATTTCATGATGAAAAAATATTTTGTTTTCTAGGTGACCCCTGCAGCTTTCAGAGGTACTGCCCTACAGATATTGTAGCCAGATGTGAAATCCTGTTTATGAAGTAAGGCTTTAGGAAACAGATGGGATTGGTCTACGATACTGGCCTCCCTATTGTGTAGTAGCTCCTTTGCCTGAGTTGCTCGTTTCTGTATCTGGATTGGTGGTGGAGTTTCTCAGACAAAGTACCTGGAGATTTCAGTCTGCCTTCCTTGGTACAGAATTGTTGTGACCTAGGCCCAAGTAGTTATTACCAGACACAATCAGTCCTAAACAAACATTTTATTAGAACAGCTGAAAATTACTTCATTCTCAGCTTAGTCCAAATTAATTCCAAAACAAATCCTTCATAAACAGTCCTTCAGCCTTATCACAAACTTTTGTCTTCTTTGGCACCCTGCCAAAGGCTTTTCTTGGCAAACCCCCACGAAGTTAAGAAGCAAGAGATGCTGACAAGAAATAAATGTAGCAACATTGCTTTCCTACAAAGTTCCCAAGAGCCATTGCTGCTCTTTTTAAGCCTTCTGGGAGGGGCCAATAATTTCCTGGCCTTACTCCCAAGTTGTCCTTTTTGCTTTAGCTGCTCTTGCCTTCTGGCAGCTCTTTGCATGCGTGCACTAGGAACAAGCTCCTCCTGTTCTTCTGCCTCTCTGCTATCTGCCTCTGGAGGCTCCGGAGTCCGTGCATCACTCCAAGATGGCCCTGGCCCCATCTCTGCCTCCAACGCAGAGCCCTCATCTGGGCCTTCCCCAGATTCCAGGACTGGCCCATTGTTCTCCCCAACCTCCTCACTATCCAACTCCGCTGCCAGCTCCACAAGCTGCTGGCCGACCACAACAAGAATCTGAAGTGATATGATTTCATGATACTGTATCATGGAATCATTATACTAATACATCATACTGTACATCATTATAATGTATACTTATACTGAGTCCTTCGGGAGAAGGGCGGTATAAAAATTAAATAATAATAATGATAATGATACATCAGATACATCGTACAGTATCATTAAAGACAAATAAGAAACCCAAGAAGAAGCCAGCATGGTTGCACAAAGAACTCTCTGATAAATTGAAAGACAAAAAGGATAAGTATAAAAAATGGAAAGAGGGACACATAACTAAGGCAGAATATCAGCATATAGCCCGAAACTGCAAAGATGAAGTCAGGAGAGCTAAGGTTCAGAATGAATAAAGACTTACAACGAATGTCAAAAAGAATTTTTAAAAAGTTTTTTCAACATGGACATAGTATACTTGGATACTACTATTTTCAATAAAAAGTGAGATAGACAGTATCGCCACCAGATGGATTTGTAACTGACTGACAACCTGCACTCAATGTGTAGTCCTTAATGAAACTGCATCTACATGGAGGAAAGTAAGCAGTGGGATACCCCAAGGTTTGCTTTTAGGCCCAGTGCTCTTCAATATCTTCATAAATGATTTAGATAAGGGAATAAAAGGGGAACTCAACAAATTTTCAGATGACACCAAGCTGGCAGGAATCACCAACATCTCAGAGGATGTGCTTAAGATCCAGATGGATCTTGACCAGCTTGAACACTTGGTCCTATGTAACTATGGAGTTAACTTGGTCCTATGGAGAGAAAAGTAAGGTTTTATACTTGGGCAAGAAAACCCAAATGTACAGGTACAGAATAGGTGAAGCCTGGCTCAATAGTAATGGTGAAAGAGAACTTGGAGTCCTAATGACAATCACTTAAATATGAGTCAAAAGTGTGCTACAGCTGCCAAAAAAGCCAATGTAATTCTAGGCTGCGTTGACAGAGGGATAGAATCAAGCTCATGTGAAGTGTTAGTACTGCTTTATAAGGTCTTGGTAAGTGCATACCTGTAAAATTGCATCCAGTTTAGTCACTACAATATAAAAATGATGTTGAGACTCTAGAAATAGTGCACAGAAGAGCAACAAAGATGATTAGGGGACTGAATGTTAAAACGTGAAGAACAGTTGCAGTAATTGGGTATGTCCAGTCTGAAAAGAAGGACTAGGGGTGACATGAAAGCAGTGTTCCAATATTTGAGGAGCTGCCATAAAGAAATTTTTTCCAAAGCACCAGAAGGCAAGACAAGAAGCAATTGATGGAAACAAATCAAGGAGAGAGACAACCTAGAACTAAGGAGAAATTTCCTGGCAGTGAGAACAATTAACCAATGGAACAGCTTGCCTTCAGAAGTTGCTTCATCACTGGAGACTTTTAAAAAGTGATTGGACAGCCATTTGCCTGAAATGGTATAGGATCTCCTGCTTAAGCAGGGAGTTGGACTAGAAGACCTCCAAGATCCCTTCCAACTATGTTATTCTGTTATTACATACTCCAAATGTCGAACCTGTCAGAGTTTGTTGCAAAAATCAAATCCAGAAGCACACACAAATAACTGAATCAGCTGGATTCATTAACTTCTTAATATTCCTAATAACACATAAAGTATATTTACAATACCAACAGTGGTTCTTTTGGGAGAGATCAGTTTCATTTCAGTTCACACACATAGCTTCACAGCTCAGAGCTTAACACACACTGGTTTCGGTTTCTGTTTCTTGCACAGACTCAGAAGCTGCAGACTAAGACACACCAAGGCTCCAGTCTGTCTCAGCTCCCAATTGGCTGACTTAGTTGCTATGCCTATTCATTGGCTGACTTTGTTACCATGTCTTCCCAGCCATGAATATTCTGACAGAACCTATCATTAAATGAAGAACTATGTATCTTTGGGGAATGGATCAGAGCAATAAGGATGAATCTTTTATGATGGAAAGGCAGTGCTACTTCGAATTTATAATCCTGGATTTATGATGTGGTGTTCGCTGTCTGCTTATGAATTGGCTATCTATCAATGTAAATGAAAGATTTATCAATATATCTCTCTCTGGTCAAGATTTATACTTCAAATTTAAAATCTAAGCTATTTGCTGTATGTAAGATCCTTTATTTTCCTTTGTTTTTTTTTCTTTTTGTATCTTTTTAATTTTTATATATTAAATTACTGTTGTTTAAATAGTAGAATATCATTTAACATCTGGAATATTCTGTGCAGTTCTGGTCACCAAAAGGATATAGTGGAGCTAGGTGAAGTTCAGAAAAGGACAATTAAGATGATCCAATGGAACGGTTTTCCTAAGAGGAAAAGTTGTGACTTTGGAACTTTTTAGAGTAGAAAGAAGCAAGTGAGTGAAGATTGAAGTATATCAAATTATCCAAGGTGCAGATAATGTGGACAAGGAGAAACTATTTTTCCCTTCCCAAAATATTAGAACCAATTTCTAATATTTACCAATTAGAACCAAATATTTACCAATTTCACTTGGTAAAATTGAATCCTAGAAGAATCAAGAACAGAAAAAAGATTTTTTTTTTGTTTACATAACATGTAATTCAACTTTGGAATTTGCTACCATGACATGGTAGTTTACTA